GGGTAATTTATAAGGAAAAGAGGTTGAATTGACTCACAGTTCTGCAGTCTGTATAGGTAGCATCGCTCGGAAAGCCTTAGGAAACTTACAGTCATGGTGGAAGGTGAAGGAGAAGCAAGCTCATCTTAGGTGGTGGAAGCCGGAGGAAGAGAGAGAGCCAAGGGGAATGTGCTACACACTTTCAAAAAACCAGATCTCATGAGAACTCTGTAAGAACAGCAAGGGGGAAATCTGCCCCCATCATTCATTTACCTCCCACCAGGCTCCTCATCCAATACTGGGAATTACAATTCAACAAGAGATTTTGGTGAGGACACAAAGCCAAACCATCTCAGTAGGTTATAATGTTATTGCCATTTTACAGACGAGAATACTGTGGAACTTAGAGAAAATAAATGTTCAATCAAAGTCTGCATGAATATTAAGTGGCAGAGCAGATATTCCAACAATGTGAATTGTTCCTCAAAGAATAAGTGCTATTGCTTAATAGGCCCTAAAGTTCAGACTGATAAATATAAAATATACCATGATATCTTTAATTTTCATCATTTTTTATTGTGGTAAGGGAACGATTATGCATACAATTGTACTAGAATTTCTAAGTAGCCCTCTTGTAAATGCAGTCTCACTAATCCTTTTGAATTTCTTGGGATTAAGTGATTAGATGGGATGATATGTATATTCATAACATTAAAGTTCATCAAAACAAAGGCCGGGCGCGGTGGCTCAAGCCTGTAATCCCAGCACTTTGGGAGGCTGAGGTGGGTGGATCACAAGGTCGATAGATCGAGACCAACCTGGTCAACAAGGTGAAACCCCGTCTCTACTAAAAATACCAAAAAAAAAAAAAAAAAAAAAAATTAGCTGGGCATGGTGGCGCGTGCCTATAATCCCAGCTACTGAGGAGGCTGAGGCAGGAGAATTGCCTGAACCCAGGAGGCGGAGGTTGCGGTGAGCCGAGATCGCGCCATTGCACTCCAGCCTGGGTAACAAGAGCGAAACTCCGTCTCAAAAAAAAAAAAAAAAAAAAAAAGTTCATCAAAACAGTTGAAGACGGGCTTCAAATGTTTAAAATGTTTAGAGATAAATCATATTTGAAGCTTTAGCCAGAACGTTCATGATTAAAATCCTCAATGAGCCTCTTATAAAAATTACCAAACACTGACTTATGATTAGTTTGATATTGTTCCCAATTATACTAATTTCTTCACCAAAAACACTATAATTGATTAATAGCATAATCCTGCAAAATACATTACTGCACATTTTGTAATTCATTCAGCTGAAGCTAAGAGGTTAAATACTGTGATGATTATTTTTGTGATAATGAACCAAGGGCAATTTTGGAGCTCAAATCCAATTTCAGGACCTGATTTCACCATCCCGTTGTATTTATTTAAAGAACACATTCTAATGACAGTTGACAAGGTTGTTTATATTCTCTCTAATCAGAACATTACAGTAAATTTATTGATGAGTTTTAAATACATTTATATACCATGTGTCCTTTGCTTGAAGTCTCCTTAAAGACACAATTTATTTTTCTACCTTTTTGTTCAGCTTACACATGTGCAATTTTGAAAGAGATAAATAGGTTTGTATATAACATTTTAAAATATATTTACATGTTGCTTTGTAATTTTTGAAATATTTCACCATCTAGATTATATTTTTTTTGGAAGGCACTGGTTTCCTCTGGTCATTTCCTTGGAGGAACTCAGGTATCTTTTACATATGGAAGACACAGCTGTTTAATAGAAGGAATAAATAAAGTGTATAGGAATTATTTTTAAGGTGGGACATTTACTTTAAATTTCTGTATATAGTAATTACTCTCACTGATTGCAGCTAAAGTGTGAACTGTAGCCTGAGGAAAGTTTCAGATATTAGAGATGCTGGACATATGAAAGACCTTAAGCTTGGGATTCCTGTGGAAGAAATACTGGACCAAATAAAAAATGTGAGCTAAAATATAGGCATTACCAACAAGGTCTCTTGAAGCCAATTAGCTGGACTCCCATTTGTTTTCTCACCTAAGTCCCAAGAGGAATTTGGATAAAGGCTAAGGAACTGTTGACATGCATTTGGAGAATGAAAGTATTCTAATTTTTACTTTTAGTACATATCATTCTGTTTTTATTTAAATAAGTATTTGTGTATAATTAATGGCATCGTAAAACAAAACCAGTGCAACACAATTTGATGGAAGTAATGTCACAATAGAGATATTACAGGCCTAGAGGAGACTAAGACAGCCTTAATCTTTTACTTAGATTTCCCTGAGTTCAGGTGGTAAACAGATTCACGACACCTGTGACTTAGTGATAAGTAGTGTCAGAAGCAATACTACAATTTCTTTAGTCTTCTGATGTCAGCCCTCTCAATTTTCTTAACCTTTGTGAAATTATACATTTAACAAGTATTTGTTAGAAAGGTATCACAGCAAAATAAAACTGATGCCATGTGATAATAATAGCAAGCATGTTTTTTTTTTGTTTGTTTGTTTTTGTTTTTGTTTTATGACTATCTTTGTGACTATCTTGTTTAGTCCTGGCACAATCCTATAATGTAAGTGTTATCATTATCCTTGTTTTACAACAAGAGGTTTTTTTTTTTTTTTTTTTTTTTTACAAGAGGAATCTGAAGGTTAAGTAACTTGTACAGGTTGTACAGGGTCCCACTGGGAGTAAGTGCTGGGAATAAGTGATCTGGAGTCAGATCTGTCTGACTCCAGAACTCATTATCTTCACCCTTGTGAATCCTTTCCCAACCCATGGCCCTACTCTTTGTCTATGGTCATACCAGCACAGCTCAAGTCGGACTCAACCTGAAGTTTCTACTAGAAGGCTATAAACAATTCTGTCATTTAAATGATTTGTAAAGAAGGGAAGTGTGCTCAATGTCTTAAATTCTAAGCAGTATAAAATCCTTACCAGAAAAAATGTATGATCATACAAATATAATAAAATCTTATTTGAGAAAAATTAGCACCAAATAAAAGTGTCTCCCTAAAAATCATGCATTTGTGTGCTAATTCAGGAGATAGTTATACAAGTAATTGTTCTTACCCTTCAATATCTTCAACATGGAGATCATGGATATTAATAAAAGGAGATGCAATTTCGCTGTCACATATATCTTTCTTATGCAACTGGATGCCTCCAATTGTTTACATTTTTCATGAAACTTAATCATCACCAGAGATGCATTAGTCTTCTGATATGCATAGGACTACTTTGTATTTTCTGACAGAGAGGAATACTTTTTCTTCTGTGTTGTAATTTTGTGATATTTGGACCCAAGATCCATTTAAAATGCTTAGCAGTCCCATGTTTAGGTTTTTGCCATGTAACAATACTAGCACATACATTCAGAAAAAATACATGTATCAGCATGTCTCTTACAACATTAGATGTAATAGAAACATATTTAATCAAGTTAAATATCAATGGAAGATTGATATTATGTTTAATATAATATTTAAAATAGTGAGATGAATAAATATAAATGAAATGGCTCTTAGAAAAGCTGTTAAAATATTGTTACATAAAAATTTGAAACTGCAAAATAGTATGTAAAATTTGAGCCAGATTGGTTTAAAAATGTCACCTCATGTTTGTGTGAGAGTGTGTGTGTGTATATGCGTGTGTTATGTGGCATAGTGTGAAGTGAGGTATAGGTACATCAATTCAAGAACTCTTCATACCAAATTTAAAAATGGACAGGGTTGGAAGTTGGGGGAGACTTTCACCTTTTAGTTTCTATATTTCTGATTTATTATTACTCTTTAAAATGTGAATTTGCTTGTTAGAAATGTTTAAAATGTTTTTAATAATGTGCTTGGCATTCAGTGTTCATGACAATAAAATGCAACTTATCTTCTCAGCCTAATATTCCCTAATTTTAGACATTCGGCCTCCGTTATAGATTTTATAGCTGTGTCCTAGCCTTCTTTGCCTCTTTACTTTTCCATATGACATACCCTCTGCAAGGAAGGTCCTTCTCCTAATTTCTCATGCTCAGGTTCTATTTTATTCCCAGTTCTAATTCCAGTGCTTCTAATAATACTTTTTACAAGCATATGTTTTATTTTCCTTCTATTCTCATTTCAAATGTTCATTTTTTGTTACATCACATCATCAGTTGCCTTGTAATAAATCCACTACTATATCCACATGTACCACCCATGAAGCTGAAATCTTCACGCTTATTTTTCCCTTACAATTACATTAGGAAGTATTGTATTCAATTGAAATAAATAATGTTTCATTTTTGTAAAATTTTTGTGTAGTTGCAGCTTTTCTGTATATCGTTATCTACTGTTGAAAAGACACCTCTATTCTATGTCAAATCGTCAATTTTGTGCCTTACCATCCACTTCTGAGCTCTACATCGTAATTTCTATGTAATAACTCCATTTACTGCCTCTGTTCTCTCATATAAACATGTTTCAAGAGGCTTAAATGGAAGATGACAATCCAAATAAAATATCTTAGACAGAAAGGTATTTGCAATTATTTCATCAAATGATGCCAAAATCTTGTCACATACAGTATCTCACATGACAAATTCAATAGTCTTCTCAGAGAAACACAAATTTTTATAGTAAGGTTTCTATGTAACTCACTCCAGGTGGTTTTCTTAAAAATATGAACAGGCAAGATTGTTTTCGAAATAATAGAAACAAGAAAGAGAGAGAAAACCCAAACTGATTTGCAACGGGAATTTCCTCAGTAGTCATTCAGGAGGGAAGTTTTGCTTTGTCACAAGTGACTAGCCCTTAATTTTGAGAGTGAATCATCCCCTTTGAAATGAGAGATAAGTTGGGAAAAGAGCTGTTTAAAAATTACTTTACAACTATTTCCTTTAGAGCTATGACTTCTTAAACTGGAATGTGATCCAGAATAGCTTCCCTTTGAATCCAGCATTTGTCTTCAGCATTTTTATTGTCTCTCTTTTCCCTCACCCCATCTCACTTCTTCCTTCTCTCTGTTCAACAGATTTACACTGACTGGGCCAACCACTACCTTGCAAAATCGGGCCACAAGCGGCTGATCAAGGACTTGCAACAAGACATTGCAGATGGAGTACTCCTAGCAGAAATCATCCAGATTATTGGTAAGACCTGCCTTCTGAAAGAAAGCATGAAACCCTCTGCTCCCATCTCTTTGGTAAAGCAAAATTTAAGTTGAATGTTTTACTGAACTGGTCCATGTGTCTCTGAGATTCATGTAGCTCTCTGCTGATTTAATTAAAATGTTTATGTGAGGATGTTTGAAAAAGGCAGTTTGGCCGTACTTTTAAATAACTAGAACTGAACCTATATATACAAAAACTTGCTAACCTTTATTGAATCATTTGAATTGAACCGTCAGAAATGGATGCTTCATTAAACCATGTGTCTCTCATGTGCGCATTTCATTAGCTGGAGCAACTCATACACTCTGAGATGCCTTGAAACTGTATCCTGATCCAGCAAGGACAATTGTGAAAGGTTTCATGTCAGCAGTCATTTGGCACAGGCTAAAGAATTAGCAGCAACTTCCTTCTCACTCTTTTTTTTTTTTTTTTTTTTTTTTTTTGCCGGATTTGTGCATATAGAATTGGTGGCTGTTAACAAGTGCGTCTTCTTGTACACAGCCTGGAAGATAGAATATATGTAGCAGGAACATTTTTGATTGGTATTTTTTTTTCCTGTTTGTGTGTGTGTGTTTCACTTCATTGCTTAAGCATGTCGTTCTTTTTTTCTCTCTTTTATTTTATCTCTTGGCGTTAGCAAATGAAAAAGTTGAAGATATCAATGGATGTCCTAGAAGTCAGTCTCAGATGGTAAGAATCATATTTATTCTCAGTATGTAATGCTGATCTCCACTTCCAGAATTAATTATATTTGTAAATGGATATTATTTTTTCTGCATGTCTTTCTGCTTGTCTAAAATACCATTTGATCTGATTCTCTCATATGTATTTGTGTGGGTTCACTTTATACACGTCAATATCATTAAGTGACTTCTATATACACATGACATATTTCCAGATGTTTTATTAGATCCTTGCCTTTTTTTTTTGTTCTGCTGTTGTATATAATTTAATTTAACATGGGTCTTAATGGTAGTAAATTTCATTTCTAATTTTAAGTGGATTATTTTTGTCTGAACAGCTGGCTTAAAGAACAGGCCTTGCAATGTGCATTTTAAATAATATAAATAGTATTTCCTTTGTTCATAAAAAAGTCCACTGTAAACACATGGACTCTTCAACACTTCTGGAAATAGTTCTCAAGGCATGCTGCTGTAAGTTTGCTAAGCAGTGATTGATTTTGAGATATGATTCATGGTCTCTTCCAAAAAGCCTTCAATCTGGAAATCTGCCTCTCCCCCACCTATGTCTTATCTTTATCAACTAATAAAACTTAAAGTTTTATAATAAAATCAAAGAATGATCAACTATGAGATAAAAACCTATTTCTTAATTAAAAGCCACATTTAGTTTTATAGGAAAACTTGAAATATAAAAAGTTACATCAAGCAGATATAATCAGGAATGACAGCCAAAATCCGCAAGAGAAAGCTTTCTTCAAAATTCTTCAGCACAGAATAGGCATTTAAAATGAACTTAATGAGTTCTTAGTATCAGACTTGGAAGAATGAAAACACTTACTAACTTTTAAAATCTGCTGACCTGCTTTACTTAATATCAGAAAACTGAAATCCAAAATAATAAACAGAATTTATTTTTAAAGAGTGATTAATTATCATGTCAGTTTTTAAAATAATTACTTCCAGGACCTATTATAATGTCATGAACTCTGTGTATGGGGTTGCGAAAAAAATCACTATAAAAGAAAGTATTTCTATACAATCGTTCAATTTTAAGAAAATTTCCTGATCTAATTACTCTGGGCTCAAACATGACTCTGTGGGAAATAATTACAGTTGTTTTCTGAAGTTTTACTGAGAACAAGCCAAATAAGAATACATTTACACCCTGCTACAGTAATAAGCTGTGTGATGTTGATAAAAATATGTAACTTCTTTGAGCCTCAGCTTTCTTATCTGTAAAATGAAAATTAATTAGAATGTGACAAGATATGTAAATGAACATTATTTATTAAACAACTAAAATACAATGCAGAATAGTATCGCTACAAACTTTGTAAAGGACATATGCATGGTTTAACACCTATTAAAAGATATTCAAGGCTTTCAGTTAAAAAGCGTAACAGTTCCCCAAAACCATAATTATGTTTCTTAAACACCCAACATGGTTGCTTTTGCTTTCATTATTTTTGCCATGAGGAAGTGTTGAATAATATAAAACATTTAGTTCTAGAAACTCTCACCTACTTGGCTATCATTCCAATTTGATTCTGGGATTACAGAGAATTCAATCAACAGGCGAGCTTATATTCAGTGATGGAAAAAAAAAATTGCAAAGCTCGTAACAATGGTTAATAGAGATGCTGTTTTTACCTGCTGATCTGAAACAGCTGTACCTAGAGATTCTACAAATGTGTGAAAAGATTCTCTTGAGTTTCAGACTCTGTTATTTTTTTGTTGCTTCTTTTTTTTACTAACTGCAAAATATCATGATACAGCTATTATGCATATGTTCATATTTCCACTTCTGATTAAAACAAAATAGAAAGACTGAAGTCTGAAAAATGCAAATGCTATTTAAAAAGGTAGTTTATCCAGACACAAAGTATTAGTTGGAATCATGTTGAATATTGACTAAGAATGACTTAGATCCTCATTTCTTTAAGATGTGGTTGAATTTTGAATCTGAAATTGGCATGCCCTCGATGTGTTGATTCAGAAGACTACATATGAAATAAACGTAACTTTTTTGGTTGACTTATTTTGCCTCTGTTCTTAAGAATTTGCATAAGCAATGTTAGTGAATACAAGTTCCAGAATTTAACTGGGACAAGAAAGTAAATGAAAAATGATTATCAAAGGCTTATGAATTTCATGTATCTACTCCAAACAGGATGTGGCCTGTTCCTTGATTGCATAACACTGGGAGGTGCCACATTAGTAACAGTGAGTGGCATACTTGCTCATAGTACTTCTTTGGCTACCTCTCTTTGTATAACTGATCTTTTGTGGCCTTTGTTTGCTGTTGGTGCTTAATAACAAAAGATAAAATAAAATTAGGTCTGCTACTATTTTTGATCACAAATCATTTTAATTTAAATTTTAAACTTGCTAACCTTTATTGAATTATTTTAAGCCTTTTAGAAGATGCCTTTTGTGGTGTGAATCTACAGTGTATCGATAAATTTCCATAGTAGCCAGATAATTCACATTTAATCAATATTTACTGAGCACTGAAAGTACAAGGTATAGTAACATTTGAATAAACTACACTTGAGAATTGGAGGAGCAAATGTTTAGATAAATAACAGCAACAGTTATGTAGGCAAGAACAAAAAGGATTGAGAATGGAGTAAGTTTGGTACATTCCACAAACAGTTAGAAGACCACTGTGGATTAAGCACAAGGAGAGTTGTTTGAAGGGAACAAGGAAGCCTGAGAGTGCAGGGCCCAAGTAAGAAGTTGGTGTGGTATTCTAACTCAGTTAGGGAGCCTTTGGAAGACTTTTAAAGCTGTTGTATGATCCAATATAAATACTTTAAAAGATTACCCACTTTATGGGGATTATAAAGTAAGTAACTCTTGGTGTCCCATTGAATTTGGGTGATGGATAGTAAGTACAGGGAGCTTAAAATGACCCCATTTTTTAGCCTGCATGGGTAAGTGATTACCGTTAAACAAAATAATTATTATAGAAGCAGAAAAAATGGCTTAAAAAGGTGGAGGGGAGTAAGTGGTGAATTTGTATTTTAACATGTAGAGCTTGATGTATCTACTGAAACATCAATTTGGAGGTAACTTTAGGCTATTAGACTTGTGTTTCTGAAGGTCAGAAAAGAGTGTTAGTTAGAATATACTGAGAGAATAGGTAATAGTTGAAGCCATGGACGAAAATGGAATCTTACAGGAGGTCTGCATAAAGTCACAGAAGAAGAAAGCTGAAGTTTTTTACTCTAGGAAATATAAATATTGATATGATAGAGGTGTAGGAGTCAGGAAAGGGAAAGACTGTTAAGCCAGTGAAACTATGGTTGAGGAACAGAATCAGAGATGTGGACTACTAATCCTTAGAGGAGATGCAGTAGTTCAAGTTGTAATACTTGGACTACTCAAGCAAGTTAGGGCAAAGTAAGATGTGCAGAATATGTCACGTGCTATCAAATGTTGCGTAGCTAAATAGCTGGTGTACTAGAATGAGGTATTTATTTCTGGTAATTGGATAAGCATTGATGACTTGTATATGAACATCTTCTGTAGAGTGGTAGTATGTTAAGAAGTAGCTGAAAAGTGCTGATATCCATTGAGTCATGAATAAACTTTCTAAGAATGTCCTGTTAAGTCAGTCTTAGAGAAGAAAAAATAAATAGCTTGAGAAGAAGACAGAGTTGAGGAGAGCTTTTGCAAGGGGGGAAGTAGGCACAGAAGGAGGAAGCAGTAGAGGGAGAGGAAAGGGTCCAGGCCAGGGGAATGAAGTGGTAAGTGACTATAACAATTCCTAAAGGAAGTAGAAGAGGAGGAAATTTTGGTCTGTGTGGAAGGTTTGATATTAGAAAATAATGGGGATACATTTGCTTCCGTATCATCATATCATAAAAGGTTATGACTGGGTCAAGATACAGAAACTTGAAAAAAGTATATATGTAACATTTGTATAAACAGAAATCTCTATATAGTAGCTTGCACTGAAAGGTTATGGCTGGGACAGGGAAAAAACACATAAGTAGAGACAAGTTACTTATAGAATTCTATTTCGGTGGGGTATAATGCACTATATTATTCTTTTTTTATAACTTACATAAGTGTTTTATGTATTATTTTGTGTATATCAAATATACTAAATAATTTCAAAGTAGAAAAGAAAGTATATTAAATAGAAATTAGAGGAATTCAAATTAATATAAAAACTTCAGAATTTTAGATAATATTAACATGCTTTCTTTTTATGTGATTCTCTAGTGGTTACCTTGTAATAAAGAAAAGTTCAACATATATATTTTTGTGTGTGCCTTATAAAGAAAATTCAACTCTCTCTACATATATAATATGTGTATATGTGTGTGTGTATATATATATATATATAATATGTGTATATATAATCCCAACAATAATTCTTTTGAATAACACAGTCCAAAGAGCACATATTTAAGAAAAATATGAATTCATGCTTTTAGCAGTTTATTAGTATAATTATTGAGATATGTGATTCATCTTTATCCTAAATTTTAAAGTCATGATTATTTTTCTTTAATGAGCTTGAGACTAAACTGGTCCTGGAAAACCGAACTTAGTTTGTTGGAGCTTAGTCAACACTAAATTTAACCTCATCTAAAGATGAAGTTACTCATGTGGATGGCACCTGTTGAGTAATTCCTAGGTGGGTGGTATCAGGATTCAAAATATACTGCATGTCCCAACTTTGGTGAGCTTACATGAGGAGATAAATTAGTAAACTATAAATACCAGGAATGTCCCAAACGCCCAGCAAATTAAAAATAGCAAAACAAAAGATGCCCAACATTTATTTAAAATGCAGAGACACAAGTGCAAGGTTCTTAGACAAAAATGTTAGACATGTAGGGTAAAAATTGTTTCAAAGACAATTTTTTTAAATTTTAAAATAGACCATTATATTTAAGGATCTTCACAAATGCACAGAGGAATGAGGACATCGAATTATGTGAAATAGTTGCAAACCAAGTATTAGACTATGTAAGACAGCTAAGGATCTGG